ATAAAAAATTACCACCCCCCCCCCCCCCAAATTTCTGCTCTCATTTAGCCCTAATCTGTGTTTCCTTAGCTGTAACTTCTTTATTTTGTTCGATTCCTATATTCATAATTATCATGTAACGTAAAATTAGTTTTTCTAGTAAGGTTTTAAGTTGTGCGTACTTTATAAATTGTAGATTGTAGATGTCTGTGTTAGTGGAAACAACGAGTCCCACAAAGATGTTAGGCAAGAAGAAACTTGATCTGATGGTCGATACTATATCTCCCTCTACATTTAAGCGCCTAAAAGTTGATGCTACCAGCAATTTTCCTGAAAATTGTGGTTCATTTGTTTGTCAAAACAATGGAACCAGAGAGATCAACCTGGAATTTCCATCCACTACCAAGCCTGTAAGAGTCGAGACTACGAGGAGTTTTCCTGAGAATTGTGGTCTATTTGTTCGTCAAAACAACGGAACCAGAGAGATGTACCCGGAATTTCCATCCAATACCAAGCGTGTAAAAGTAGACTCTACGAGGAGTTTTCCTGAGAATTGTGGCCCCTGTGTTTCTCAAAAGAGGAATGGAAGTGATACTCAATGCTCTGTTGACGCTGATAGCAAAAGTTGTTCTGAAGTAGCTAAAAATGTGGTTGAGTCAGCTGAGTCAAGTAATTTTGAGGCAACTGGTGCGCCTCCAAAAGAGGCTGGTGGTTCAAGTCATTTAAATACCTCATGTCGACCTACTAATGGAAACCAACCTTTGAAATTGAAAGAAGAAAATCTTATGTATGATGAATCTACTCAACATCATGAAGTCCAAAAGCCGTCAACTGATACAAGAAATACATGTGATTGGTTTATAAAAGATGAACCTATTGAAAATGAACCAGAATTGCCTGCTATTGTTTCACAAGAAAATCTAATCGAAGCTCTAAATGAACCTAGTAACGAAACAAGCCAGAGAGTTCACCACGAAGAAGTTTCTGACAATGAATCCAGGAATTGGGTAGATGATGATGACATTTCCATTTTAACATGCTCCGAGTGGAACTCACTAAGATCAGGTCTCAAGGCCCAAAGTACTGATGGTAAGAAAGGTGGTAAGGAGGGTGAGATCATACACAAGTGCTCAGATATTTTAGAAGATGCAGTTGATTTCAAGCCATTGCCCGACATCATATGTCCTGAGCAGCACGATGAAATGAACAAAGGCCATTATTTTTTCTATAAGGATTGGGATCAATATGAATCTGTGGTCATGTGTGGTGTTTCTGGTCATGGATTGTCAACTGAATATGAACATATTCATAAAGTAAAAGAAGTTAGAGAAACTCTGAAACTTTTTGATGACGTATATACTAAACTTTTGCGAGAAGATAAAGCAGAGAAACATGAAGGACGATCCAAAAGAAATATCCATATAGAGGCAGCAATGACATTGAAAAATCAGAAAAAGTGGGTAAATTGTGAGTGGACTTTTGGACATGTTCCTGGAGTTGAAATTGGGGATCAATTCCGGTTCAGGGCAGAACTTGTTACGATCGGATTACATCACCAATTTATGAATGGTATCAATTATGTGAATATTGGCAGAAAATATGTTGCAACAAGCATTGTTGATTCTGGTCGGTACGATAACGAGGCCATATCTTCTGAAACATTCATTTATGTAGGTCAAGGCGGGAATCCAAAAGTATCTGTTAATGCGAGAGTGGAAGATCAAAAGCTTAAAGGGGGTAATCTTGCCTTGAAGAACTCCATGGACATGGGATGTCCGGTGAGGGTTATTTGTGGTCGAAAAAGAGTGAATGGTGAAAAGAGTGATATAAGATACATTTACAATGGGCTCTACACTGTGACCAAGTGTTGGGCAGAAATAGCTCCAACTGGAAAATATGTTTTCAAGTTTGAACTAAAACGAAATCCTGGCCAACCAAAACTTAATCGTGAAGTAGTGTCACGGCCAACAAGTTTAGTCAAGGTAGATCATTTTCATGCTAACAAGGCAACAAAATCGATTATGCAATCGGAGTTTGTTGTGGACTATGATGTCTCGCAAGGAAAAGAGAAGATACCAATTCGTGCTGTCAATGCAATAGATGATGAGAGACTCCCATCATTTACTTACATTACCAACATACAATATCCAGATTGGTATTACATCTCTAGGCCTCAAGGTTGCAATTGCACAAGTGGATGCTCGGATTCTGAGCAATGCTCTTGTGCTTCTAGGAACGGAGGTGAGATTCCATTCAACACAAGAGGCTCTATTGTTAGAGCACAACCTCTTGTTTATGAGTGTGGCCCATCTTGCAAATGTCCACCTTCTTGCAAAAATAGAGTTAGCCAACATGGTCCTCGATACCATTTGGAGGTTTTCAAGACCGAATCGAGAGGATGGGGTTTGAGGTCACGAGATTATGTCACATGTGGTAGGTTTATATGTGAATATGTTGGGGAGTTGCTTGATGAAAAGGAAGCTGAAAGTAGAATATATAATGATGAGTACTTGTTTGATGTTGGCAACTATGATGAAGAAATCCCAAAAAGGAATCCTATGCGTAATAATAACCTCAAAGTTGAGTCAGATTCTTTGCGGAGGAAGGATGAAGATGGCTTTACCCTTGATGCGGTTCGATATGGGAATGTTGGAAGATTTATCAACCATAGTTGCTCACCAAACCTTTATGCTCAAAATGTCATGTATTACCATGGTGATAGGAGAGTACCTCATATAATGTTTTTCGCTTCTAAGAGTATTGCTCCATTAGAGGAGTTTACTTATCACTACAACTATGACCATGTTTATGATAAAAATCGTAATCTGAAGAGAAAGAATTGTAGATGTGGCTCTCGGAAGTGCGAGGGGAGAATGTACTAAAGAATTACTCATGTAATACTATCCCTCTTGACATGATGTTTAAAGTATAATTTTTATAATCTTTGCACTTGTCATTTACATTTCATTATGCGTAATATCCTATTTTTTATGACACTTTTGTTTGGTCTTGAATGTAGAATAACTTAAATGGTTATATAACCACATGAGGGAGTTATTACTTATTCGGCAGCTTAGTTTTAGACTTGCTGAAACAAGGCTTACTTATCACCCAGGCTGGACCAAAATCCTTGAAGGAAACATTTATCTTAAATGTGAATGTCTATTTTCCTATCAAGTAGTGAAATTTGTACACGATTGCAAGACTTGTAATACAATGTATGCGTCCACTAATAGTCAATGAACCAGGTCCCTTGACAGAATATGCGTCCACTAATAGTCATAGTGATGCATTTTGGATTGACAATGCTCCCTTCAGTTTTTAAAAGAACTTAAGGAGGTTCATGCGGATCACTTCAGGATCACTTTTCAGCTTGTATGCCAGGCTCTCCAAATGTCACTTTTCCACAAGCAGTATTGAGTACCTGGGACACTACGTATTAGCTGCTGGTGTAGCTACTGATTCAAAGAAGATTCTTACAGTTCAGAAATGGCCTCTCCCTACAACCCTTAAGCAAATCAGAGGGTTCCTTGGCCTTGTAGGATATTATAAAAGATTTATCCAAGGTTATGGTTATATAAGTAAAGATGGAACTTTTTAAATGGAATGAAGGAGCTACCAGGGCATTTCAGCACTTGAAGGATGCGCTGATATCTGCTTCCGTGTTAGCTGTTCTTAACTTTAACTTGAGTTGTGATGTTGGCATAGGAGCTGCTATTATGCAGCAAGGGAAACCTATTGCTTACTTGAGCAAAGGCCTTTCTCTACACCACAAAGTTATGTCTGTTTATGAATAAGAGCTTTTTGTTTTGTTTAATGTCTGTATCTAGATGGGGCTAGTATCTCACAAGTAAACCCTTCATTGTCAAAACTGATCAAAAGGTCTTAAAATTCCTGCTTGAACAATAGTTTCATATTGGATCCCAGTTGAAAATGATTACCAAACTGATGCAATTTGATTTAACTATTGAATAAAGGAAAGATAAGGAGAATAAAGTTGTTGATGCTTTATCTCGACTTCCTACAATAGAGTTGGCTGCACTAACCTTAGCTGTTGTCAGGTCAGGCTTATTGCAGAGTAGATGTTGTAATTGTTGTTGATTAGGAATATGTGACCTTGTTTATCTTATAAAAGTATGGTAAAAGTTTTAAAAGGATATGGAAGAAAAGGGATTTCCAGAGGATGTATGGTAAACGTTGACATGTAGAAAGCATATGATTCTTTGGAGTGGACATTCCTGGAGCATATTCTGGCTGAACTTAAGATACCTGCCAAAGTCGTCAAATGGATAATGCAGTGTGTTACAACAAATACTTATTCCATTAAGATAAATGGGCATAGTACAACAATCTAATGTCCCCTTATCTTTTTATGATTGTTATGGACTATTTGACAAGAATTTTGAAGACCTTGTAGACAAATCCCGATTTCCATTATCATCCTAGATGCAAAAATCAGATGATAGTGCAATTGAGCTTTGTCTGATGACTTATTGATGTTCTGCAGGGGTGACTTAAAAATCAGTAAAGTATCTTGGTCAATGTTTTATGATGTTCTCCAATGCTTCTGGCCTGGTTGCAAACATAGATAAGAGCAATGTATACTTTGGTGGAGTCAACCAACAGATACAAGATGAGATATTAAAGGAATTGCAATTTGTTTAGGGGGATCTGCCATTTAGATATCTTGGAGTTCCTTTGACTACTAAAAGGATTTTCCTATCACAATGCAAGCCACTTCTAGGCTTACAAGCTGGACAACTAAATTTTTATCATATGCAGGAAGAGCTCAACTCATTAAAAGTGTACTGTATGCAATCCAAATGGTTTGGTCCCAGATATTTGCCCTTCCCAAGAAGATCATTCATTGAGTGGAGACTATGTGTAGAGGATTTCTACGGACTGGTAACATTGAGACCTCAAGAAAAGTTCTGATTGCATGGACAAGCTGTGTTGCCCCAAAGCAAGTGGAGGAATGAATCTACTTGCATATATACATGGAACAAGGCTGCTATTGAAAAGTCGTTGTGGAATAAATGCCAGAAAAAAGACAGGTTATGGGTTGCTTGGATTCATAGCTACTATGGGCAGAATGAAGTGTGGAATATACAAGCTAAACAAGCTTCATGGGTTGTCCAAAGGATTTTGGAGGCTTCTAAACATGTACAAGTGGCATGGAAAAGTACTCTATTAGCAGAATCTATTTGCATGGAGATCACTGGCGTGGACAAATATTGGAGCTCCTAAATGGATATTCATTCTGTATCTCGCAGTGAATGGAAGGCATGCAACTAAAGATAGATTGGTGAAATGGCCGGGGTATAATCCAGTCCCCTACATGTCCTCTATGTCAGCTGGTGAATGAGGATCTAGATCATCTGTTTTTCTAGTGTTTATATGCTACAAAGGTTTGAAATAGTGTACTAAATTGACAAGGGGTTAGGAGAGGCAGTATGAACTGGACAGATGAGGTACATTGGGCAAAAGTAGCATAACACTTGCTTATCGCTGGAACGTAACAACAGGATATTCCAACAGAAGCAGCAGCCAGCAATATTTTATGTTATTTGAATTGTTCTTATATTATTACGATATATAAAAAGCAGAGGTTTTTAACCTCTACAAATTGCACTTTCAATCTTGGCAAATTACCCTTTTTCTTTCCTGTGTTTTGAATAGCAGCAATTACCGTCTCTGCAACAAGTGGCTCCCAAAGCCTGAAGAAAATACCAGATTTTAGGGGTATGCCAAATTTGGAGTATTTGTATCTAGATGAATGTATGAGTCTTGAAGAGATTCACCATTCCCCGGTCTGCTGCAGAAAACTGATTGAGTTAAGTTTGTATGATTGTTAATGCGGAATCTCTTAAATATCTGAATCTACGTGGAATCCCTTATCATGTTGCAACAGGCTGAAAGAGTTGCCAAACTTGAATATTTTGAAACTCAATATATTAGATGGAGGACTTCCGGAAGACATTGGATGCTTATCCTCTTTGAAAGAGTTGAATCTCATTGGAAATAATTTGGAGTATTTGCCTCGAAGCATAGTTCAACTTGGTGCTCTTCTATGCTTGGATATATCAGGTTGCAAGAACCTTACAGTAGATGCAGATTGGATCAATGATTCGATATGTAATTCATTGTTTCGGAATATCTCATCATTGCAGCATGATATCTCTGCTTCAGATTCCTTGTCACTATAAAGAATATACCAAGTTGGTTCCACCACCAAATTTGACTCTATTTTTCTAGTGAAAATTTGTACTTGAAACTAAATTTTGAAATGAAAATTCAGAATAATACTTTGCAAAATTCAATCAAAAAATTTACTTAAAAACTTTAGGCAAAATACATAAATGGTCCCGAATTGGTAAAGATTATGCCGCAATGGACTTAAATCTTCTTAAAGAGAGCGAGATATCCACGCCTCAGCCTTATTTATTTATTTATTTTTGTTCTTTTTATTTCAAGTATAATTTATTATATTTTTGGTATATTACACCAACAATAAATGTTATAGAGCGAAATCTGAAAGAATATCTCTAAAATTATCTTTTTTAATTCTCATTTGTATCCAAATAATTGAGTGAATACGGATCAATGTAAATTTAATATTAGTGACTCTAGTCCAAAAAATGAAATAGTTATTTTGACAAAATGAATTTTATAATTAAATTACAACATAATTATCATTCTTTTCCGGATCAACTAAAAGAAGTAGTGTCTTGTGAATTGAGACAAAGTAAATAGCAAATTTTCGGCCTTGTTGGTATTACGTAGTTAGATAAAGGGATGGCAATGGAACGGTACGGGGTGGGGTGGGGCGGAGCGGGTTGAGCTTAACCTGTAAATTTTTAATCTGCCCCGTATAACATTTTTGTTTTCATTTTCAACCCGCCCCGCATAGACCCGCTCCGCATGAACCTGTCCCGATTTTTTTTTAATATCTTCTTTTTCTATTTAAGTTTGAAACTAAAAATAAAATTCATAAAAATAAATTCATTTTTTCATTAAGTTGTATTAATTTAATAGGATAGTGACTTAAAATTTTATTTTTTAGAAGTCAATTGGGAAATATGTAAGAAATTGAATTATTTTTTTACTGAACCATTTTCATTTACTATCTTGAATATTTTAATAGCTTTAAAGAAATCATCTTAATAAATACCGTTCTATAGCTCTTATAACATGTAAAATATTGGTACAAGTTATCTTGAGACTAATTATTTCGAAATCAATTATTTTAAGATTGTTAATTAATTTTTATTTTTAGGAAATAACCTCTCTATATCTATGAGATAGTGATAAAGTATACATGCACTCTAGTCTTTTTAGACCTTACTTAGTAAGTTGTTGTTTATCAACCCTCATAAAATAACATTACAATTCTGAAATAATTTATCTATAATAAAATATCTCATAATCTTATTTCAATCAAAGATAAAAAAAATCAATTAATATAAAATAAGCCCAATTTAAAAATATTTTCAAAATTAATTATTACTTGTCCATCGCACCAAACGAGCAGTTAAAATTAGTCTTGCTCACATGATCGTAGGTAAATTGAAACGGAGTAGCAGCATTAATAATTTGGGGAAAATTCTCAAAGCACCAACACAAGGTTTTTTACTCGTTCATAGCGAAAACTGAGAGGCTCAAATTTCTGCTACTCAAATGGAATCCAAGCAATATGTAGCCTTCCATATACCCCCAGATCTGAAAAAAAACCCACAAATCATTCTCAATTACCTTCAATAAAAAAATCAGTCTTGACGACAATCTCTGTGTTGCCAGCAGAACTCATCACTGAAATCCTCTCAAGGGTACCAGTGAAATCGATTTTGAAATTCAGGTCTGTTTCGAAATCTTGGCTTGCTTTGATCTCTAGCCCTGAATTTATCAACACCCATCTCAGCTTATCCACTCGTAACAACAAGGATTACACTCACCAATTGCTTACGATGAATTTTCGTGCAGCTACGAATGGTCTTTATGAGTATACTCTTAAAGATTTTACTCTTAGTTCCTTACTTAATGATTCTGTAACTGAGGCATTTGACTTGGATTACCCATACAAGAAATTGCACAATCATTTTTCGATTGTAGGTTCTGTTAATGGATTGATTTGTCTTGTCATTGATGAATATGAATTGGTTCTATGGAATCCATCAATTAGGAAGTACAAAAATTGCCTGATTCTAAACCTACATTAATGAAGAAAGATTGCTGACCTTTATATGGTTTTGGATACGATGAATTCCACGATGATTATAAGGTAGTGGCTATTATTGTGAAATATAGCAGTCGGGATCAAGTTGAGGTCAAAATATATAGTTTACACAGTGATTCTTGGAAATGTGTTGATGAATGTCCAATTAAGAAGCTACTAAAAATATCGGGCAAGTTTGTGAATGGGAAACTTTATTGGATTACTCATGGCCCTGATTTGTTTAATATGTATAAAGACGGGAACATCATTTCTATTGATTTGGCTGATGAGAAATGGGGAAAGGTGGAGCAGCCCAACTATGGAATAGGACATTTTTCTTTGAGTCTTGGAGTGTTTGGAAGTGATTTTTCTATCTTTTGTGATAATATGGTTAGTCATGTAGATGTTTGGGTTATGAAGGTGTATGGGATTAAAGAATCATGGACAAAGATGTTAACTATCGAGTATCCAGATGATCCTTTTGTGGATTATGATTATATGCTGTTTCCATCCTCTTTCATATCAAATAAAGGTGAAATTTTGGTTTGTTTTGGATCTAGTAAAGTCATGACATATTCTACTTCACTTGATAAAAAAAGTAACATCATGACATACAATCCAAAGGATGACTCTTTCAGATATTCAAAGGTTATTAACTTTAACTTTGACGGTTGGCGTCTGGCGGAAATCTATGTTGAAAGCCTAGTTTGTCCTTTATCTGCAGAAGGGAGAAAGAATGCAACAAAAAGGAAGGCTGGAAAAACTCAGGTGAACAACAATTAATCAACAAATGACTTGTAAGAGTTGCACTTTGTGCATTTCCGTCACATTCTATTGAATTTTGTTTGTTATCTCAAATATAAACAATGCATATGTAAAGGGTGTCTTTAAACCATATTGCTCGAGGATATCGTTAGTCATTTTCCCTTCATGCTCTACTTCTATTAAGCAATAATTTTGTCTTCTACATCAAACTAAGGGTGTAGTAGGTATTTAAAATGTAAGGGCTGGTAGGGTGATGGGCGTGTGGATGAAGATGAGATGTGTTGGAGGATTGTGAGGACACAATCAATGTGGAATGACACTTAGAACTTGTATTCTCTGCTTCCACTAGAGAAGTCATTTTCGGAGAACATTTTCTGGAAACGTGGATTGTCATAAGTTGTGCTTGTGGCTTATTGTTATCATGTCCCAAATGCAGTTGTTAGGGAAACAAATCTTGTCTATTTGCTATTGGAGTATGCTAATAGGCCCAGTCATTTCCCTTTTTCCTGTAATATGAGATACCACATAAGAAATCCTGAAATGCACCATCAAATTCGTGAAATTACGGATTCACAAAGCCATATCTTGAGCATGTGCGTCGTGTTTGATCCACATTTCCATGTTTTGAAGTTACTTGCTTTTATTGTTTATGATTTTTCTGTAAAGTCAATCGATTATGAGGTTCTTGATCTTCGGAATGAAGAAAGTAGCTATTTGTGGTGACCCCTAATTAACTTGCCTCGGCAAAGCCAAGGAGAAACCAGAATATGATATAAACAGAGCAAGCAAATAAAAGTCCTCTTTGCAATGGAAACTGGTTACATCATGTGAGACTCACAACAAATTCCGGGTATAGGAATTGATATTTTGGATATGGTGAATGATAGCTGCATTGGCCATACTACTTCTCCTACGGTTACTACACAGTAACTTGAAAGACGATTGCATACTTCATGCCGTGCCTTCCACATATAAGCTATTTTATTATGTCATGTGATGTATCAATGTGAAGTTCTTTATTAACTGTTGTGTATTATTGAGATTTCAGGAAGTGAAAGTTGCTCACTGCCGACTGCTTGAATCAAAACTGTGAAGAATGGCTTTTCCGAGCTCTGAATGTTCATGGAAGGTACTCTTACTTCGTTGTAGCTTGAACGGGTCATGAACAAGGTCAAAAATCTTCTCCTTCCCCTGTATTACTTTTGTATTTTGAGATGGGTTAGAACTACATTTTGAATCTTCCCAGAAATAGAATTGACTACTTAATGTAGTAGATATATTTTAGAGTTTGCTTCACATTCTTATATAATATGAAATAAGCTGACAGTAAAGGGCCATCGAGCTCCAAAGATCGATACAGTTAAAGATATGTGAAGCAAACTCTAAAATAATTTATGTTAAGATAAATGTTATATTTATCTAATTAATAAGAATGTCATATAACTTCAATTAATTTCAAACTTTTAAATATTAAGATAATAATTAAATGACAATTATTTAAGGAAAATAGTAAATAATAGTTGTCTATTGTAAAGTTTAATGAAAGAAAAAGATTTAATCAACATTTCTAATGATCTTCATGATTTTACAAGAACTAGTTAAGTGAACTTGGTTTGCACGTGTGCAACATTAATTAATGATAAATATATAAAAAGAACAAATTATGACTTATTTGGTACTTCTAAGGATACTTATGCTTTTAAAGTAATATAAATAGATATAGATATTGTCTCGGTTCATTTTTACTTGTCACATTTGGGTCTTAAAAAATGATTTGAGAAATAAGCAATTAATAATAAGGATAAGATATAGAAAAAATAATTGGTTTTCTTCATATGTTAAAAATAACATGTAAAAGTGAAAAATATATTTTTGAAATAATGGATAACTAAAAGTGAACAGAGGAGTAGATGTATTTTACTTCATTAAATTACTTAACTATGATAAATTATACGGAAAATTGTCAAAATGCTTGTTCCAAAAATGTCCTATTATTATTTTTGGTAAAGAAATGTCCTTTTTCTAATACATTCTTTTTCCTAATAAAAATATTGTAACCATCGTTAATTTTTATGTATGTAATCCATCATTTATTTTTATTTAGATAATGATAAAAATTTTCTAATAAAAAAGAATTTTTTTTTTCTCAATATATTCGAAATCGAAGGATGATAAACACTTATTAATTATTGATTTTAAAGTTAAGATACAATAATTATAACGATTAATGCATAAAACGATATAGTTTATTAAATTGCTCCACATTACCAAATATCTTTAAAATATCATCAATGAAGTTATTGCTGACCATTTTTTCATACTAACTTCAAAATTAAGGAATATATTGGCAAATTGTAATAATGATTAAGAAATAAATATATTTTCTATTTTACTAATATATTTTAATAATTATATAAATGAGAAATAATGATGCAATTAATATGATATTATATATAAGACATCAACATTATCTTTATAAAAAAAAAGATATTATATATAAGACATATATTAGTTAAGAAAATATAAAATGTAACTCAATTTTAATTGATAAAAGGAGATTAAAAAGAAAAAAAATGTTTTTTTTTCACTTTTATATTAGTTAAAGAGTTTTAAAAGAAAACAATTACATAAAAATCTTTAAAAATAATATTTTATTAAAATTAATGTATTTTAAAAGATACATTAATTAGGAAAAGGTACATTTGTATATGAATTACCTTGTTTGATATGAAAACTTGTTGATGTAAAGAATACAATTTGAATAATAGTCAATATAATTGCAAATCTGATTTTATCTTCACTTTTTTTGTAATTAACTTACAAGGTTAGATATGGAAAATTATTTATTTAAAGAAGCTCAATTTGAATAAAAAATCAATTGCATATCTAATTTAGCCTTCACTTTCATGATGTCTAATTTTATATTTGACTTATCTTGTTTGATATGGAAATTTATTAATTTAAGGATATCTAATTTGAATAAAAATCAATTGCATACCTAATTTAGCCTTCACTTTTACTATTTTTCTAATTTTGTATTTGACTTATCTTGTTTGATATGGAAACTTATTAATGTAAAAAAAATCTAATTTGAATAAAAATCAATTGCACACCTAATTTAGCCTTCACTTTTATTATGTCTAATTTTATACTTGACTTTTTTTTTTCTCCAATTTTATACTTGACTTACTTGGAAACTTATTAATGTAAGGAAACACAATCTGAATAAAAATCAATTGCATATCTAATTTTCACTTTCACTATTTTTAGTATAAATAGAAGTTTGGCATTGTGCTATTGGTACACCCTTGTTCCATCTTCCTCTAATATTTTTGGGATCTTTTGGTTTGAGAAAAAAATTGGATCTTAAGAAGTCAACACTTGGATTTATACTTAAAAGTAAGTTATTTCTTTTCTTGGTGTTTTGAAGTTGTTTAGTTTTATTTCTCTCATGTCGTTTAATGTTAATCCTTCTGTTTTCCTATAATTGTTTCATATGCTTAAATGACTTTGTTTGGACCCGTCTCAGGTTAAGGTAAAAAACAAAGTCAAGAATTTTTAGTTTATAAACTTTAATTAACAATTCTTTTTGTTTTTTTGTGCATTCTAAATAAATTATTTTTACATACATACTTTTTTAAAAATAAAAATAACGCCTTGAGCTTTTCCCCAATCTGTAACTATAGTGGATTTTCCCTGAGTGAGACCTTTGAGAAACACTTCTAAGACATGTTGAGAAATAATGTCATTTCGAAGATTTATTTTAAATTCGTCAAACCACATCAACCCCTTTTCTTCTTCCATTAGAGAAAATTGTTCCTCTGTTGAAGGACTATTTTGCAGCAAAAGTTTAATTATAAGGACCATAAGTTTAATGCAGAGTGTTAACTGTTTCTAGTTCGACTCTTTCTATGACACTAATCCTCCCCCTCCCTCCCCCCACAATTCAAACGATTTCAGAATTTTGTTCTCCTTTAGCCCTAATATGAGTTTCACTACTCTTCTTCTTTGCTTGTTAGGTCGTATTCTTTTTGTTTCATGATGTGTTTTTTTTTGCTTTGATATAACATTTTTTTCCAGTTTGATTCAAACATTCATAACGCCTTGTCGTGTCATGTTAATAATTGTGTAATGTGTTTGTGTTTTTGTAAAATTGTTTGCTATTATACTGGATTTATAGGATGAATTTTATGTTGTGCCTAATTGTAGATGTCGTTTGTGCCGGTAGAAACAAGTACCTCAAAGAAGTTACAGATGATTGATACTAGATCTCTATCAGTATGTAAACGCACGAGAGTTGATGTCACCAACAATTTTCCTAAAAATTGTCATCCATCCGTTCGTCAAAACAATGGAAACACTGTTCAACAACATGATGTCTTGATTAATCATAAGTTAAAAGTTCCCAAAATTTCATCAGTTTATTCAAGATGTGAATGGTTTTCAAACGGTGGACGTATTATAAATGAATCTAAATTTCCTGCTATTTCTGAATATGAGCATATTCAGAAACGAAAACAAGTTAGAGAGACTCTCAAACATTTTGCTGATGAATATACTAAGCTTTTGGGAGAAAAGAAAGCAGAAAAACAAGGAAAACATATCAACATAGAGGCTGCAATGATTTTGAGAAAAGAAGGAAAGTGGGTAAATTCTGAGTGGGCCTTTGGTCATGTTCCTGGAGTTGAAATTGGTGATCAATTCCGGTTCAAGGTAGAGCTTGCTATGGTCGGACTACATCACGAAATTTTTAGGGGTATCGATTATGTGCATATTAATAGAAAAAATGTTGCAACTTGCATTGTTGATTCTGGTCTATACGAGAATGAGACCATATCTTCTCAAAAGTTCATTTATGTAGGTCAAGGAGGGAATCCTAGAGTATCTGTTAATGCGAGAGTGGAAGATCAACAGCTTAAAAGGGATAATCTTGCCTTGAAGAACTCAATGGATTTGGGATATTCTGTGAGGGTTATTTATGGTCGTCCAAGAGTTAATGGTGAAAAGATCGATGGAAAATACATTTACTATGGGTTGTACACTGTAACTAAGTGTTGGCGAGAAAGAGGTCCAACTGGAAAATACGTTTTCAAGTTTGAACTGCAGAGGAATCTTGGCCAGCAAGAACTTACTCAGTTAGTCAATGTCAATCATATTTGTGAAAATGTTAACAAGGCACCAAAATCTACTATGCAGACAAAGTTTGTTATGGAGTATGATGTGTCGCAAGGGAAGGAGAATATACCGATCCCCACTATCAATGAAATAGATGATGAGAGACCCCCACCTTTCACATACATTACTAATATGCAGTATCCTGATTGGTATTATATCATTAGGCCTCAAGGTTGCAGTTGCACAAGTAGATGCTCGACTTTTGATCAGTGCTCGTGTGCTTCTAAGAACGGAGGCGAGTTTCCATTCAACCCAAGAAGCTCTATTCTTAAAGCAAAACCTCTTGTTCATGAGTGTGGTCCATATTGCAAATGTCCTCCATCTTGCAAAAATAGGGTTAGCCAACATGGTCTTGGGTACCATTTCGAGGTTTTCAAAACCAAATTGAAAGGATGGGGTTTGAGGTCATCAGATTATATTGCACCCGGAAGTTTTATTTGTGAATATATCGGAGAATTGCTTGATCATAAGGAAGCCAAAATTAGAATGGATTATGATGAGTACTTCTTTGATGTTGGCAACTATTATGAATATATCCCCCAAAGGAAGGTTGTAAGTAGTAAAGTCGAGTCAAATTCTTTTAAAAGGATGGATGAAGAAGGATTTACTATTGATGCAGCAATATATGGGAATGTTGGTAGATTTATCAATCATAGTTGCTCACCAAACCTTTGTGCTCAAAATGTCATGTATGACCATGGTGATAAAAGAGTACCTCACATAATGTTTTTCGCTTCCAAAAGTATTTATCCATTAGAGGAGCTTACGTATCACTACAACCACCGGATTGTCCGTGTTCATGATACAAATGGCAATTTGAAGAGAGAGAAGGGTAAATGTGGCTCTCATAAATGCAGCGGGAGAATGTAGTAAATTACTACTTGATGTACCGTGAGTGTATGGTATTTTTGCTGCATTATACTTGAAGTTTGTGTGCGTCTTAGGCATTTTTGTTATTAGATATGATGGTTTTTGCCCTAATTTTGCAGGAAATCGGTTTGAAGCAGTTGAAGTTGAATGTAGTTGAACTAGGAGGAATTTGGCAACCTACGAGCTCACTCATGAGCCGTAGGTGGGAGCCGTGGGTCAATTGTTCAAGGAAGTCTGACCAAAGTGTGGAACCACAGATGTAAATGACGGATCGTAGTCTGACTGACGGATCGTGGATGCTGATCGTCGATTAAATCAAAGAAGAGGAGTTCCAGTACTTGAACAACGGAGAGACAGGACATATCGTGTATAGACCTACGGACCGTAGGTGATGACCGTCGATTGAAGACTAAAAATTTTGGCCTACTGCTGAACCACAGAGGAGACTCACGGACCGTTGGCTGATCCATGGTCTGTTGTTTGCTGCCGTCGATCGAAACTGCTCAAATCGGATTTTTCATATATTTTCTTTTGCTAGGATTTAGTTTCTATATTATAAGTTGTATTTTTCATTTTTGGGTTGTTAGACTTTCTGGGATATTTTGTTTCTATTTTGAGGATTATTTTTCAAACATTTTCGACAATTAATTCTCAAAGCTTTGTTTATGATATTTGCGTTTGATTTTCAATTCAAGATTACAGTATCCATCTATTCTAATTGTAAGTTCATTTGTTATCTCATTAACCCTACATGAATTGTAAATTCTCAAACATGAGTAGCTAAATCCACAACTAGGATTGTGTGAACCATGAGTAATTATCAATGTATGACTATAATTAAGTAATTCTAAAATAGTGTTGATGCATCTATTATTAATCCTTTCGTTTAGAATGCTTTCTAGTGGTGCACAACGTTAGAACTCGTCTCATTCTTACTTGTCGGACCAAGGAGGTAACGAATGAGAAAGAGATTAAACAATGGATATTTAGATGTGTTTAGCCGCTATCTAATAGCCTGAGCCTAATAGTGCGAAGGCTAATCTGGGGTTAAGGGTAAGAGTTAGTAAAGCATACACCCGTAGACGGACCAAGTTGCGTGGTGAAATTCCCTACTTAGAGGACCAATCACTTAGGGATACCTAACTTATCAACCTTGCATGTTAACACTAGGATAGAGTTACTATTATTAGGAATATTGCATTAAGAGCTTGTGGGGAACACCTATGCCCTAATTTTCATCTCATATTGATATTCAAACTGTGAATCCTGTTTAGTTGTTGCTTATTGATACAAATTAACAAACATCTATTTTGTTTACAAATCCCCCTTTTTTCCTTTTTTTTTTTTCTTCAGAAATAGTTTGACTGAACCTAAATAATTGTAAGTTAGCCTAAGTCTAAATCATATTCCTCGTGAGATCGATCCTAACCTAAAACTTAGGTTCTTTATTCGACGACGACCGTTTATACTTCTTTCGGGAGTTGTAGTTTGGGCGTATCACTACTCATGTAAAACTATTCATCTGCACTTGATATTTGAAGTATGATTTTATAATCTATGTGCACTTTTCATGTTCAACCTTTTGATCCATTGATATTCCATTTAGTTTAATTGTGCAAACTTTTATCTCGCGTAACTTGTATTGCGATTGATGTCCTACCTTTTATGGCTTTTTTGGTCTTGAGAGAAATAGTAGAATGACTTAGATGATTGCATAATTAACCACACATGGGAGTTAAAATTTATTCGTCCTCTTGCTTTTGGCTTATCAAGGCTTAACTAGGTCTCATTTATTTTTATTAAGGTTAGAACGTTAGAATTCAAATATTGAGATGTGTATTAATATTTAGATATTTGAATTTGAATACATATCTAAATATTAAAATGTTGTAAAAAAATTGAATACAAAATAATTAACATCATTTATATGGTTGTTGGTGGAGGAGATGGCTAATGATGACGGTTGTGGGTGCCGATTGGAAATGATGTTGGCTAATGGTGGTGGTGTGAGTAGTAATTAGTTGTGAGGATGATTAATAGTAATGGTTGATGGTGGTAGTTGGTAGTGACATCAAATAGTTGTGATAGATGAAAGTGATAGCAAATAGTGGTGGTGATTAATGACAATGATTGACGATATATAATGACAATTGATGGGAGTGATTGGTGGTTGTTGTAGTAATGGTGATTGATTGTAATGGTTACTTGTGGTGGTGACAACTTATTGTAGTAATGTGGCAAATGATGGTGGTTTTTGATAATGGTAGTTGATAATGCTGGGGGACTACGACGGTAGTTGCGAATAGTGGGCGAAGGTGGTAGCGGTAAATAGATGGAATCAATGAACTGTTATCTTTATAGAAATCTTTGACTAGACATTTAATGATGTTCCGACTTTGTTATAAATCTTAATCATCCAAATATATTCAGACCCATTAAGGCCTCATTTGTTTTTTGATAAGATTAAGAAGTTTGAAACTGAATGCATATTTGAGCATTTTATTTAGATGTATGAATCTTAATACACATATGAATATTAAGATGAGAAAAGACATAAAGTGATACAAAAAGTTGTCCTGAATTTACGAAAAAACACTTTAACGTTGTGGTTGTCACGACCCAGGGGTACCCCTAGATGTAATATGGCGTATAGAAATCCGAAGGACTCCAGACGAGCCACTTGGCTGCCATAACATAAGAAATAGAACAATAAGAATAATACAATAGTTCAAGTCCAAAACATTTTATAAAAGCAAAGAGGAAGTCTAATACACTTGTCTCATCATAGCCATCTAATACAATAGAATGAAATTGAGCTTAGCCCCTAATTCATTTCCAAAAGAGAAATACATGAAAAGGAACAACAACAATGAAAGTCCGTCCTCAAAGCAAGAGGACTCACCAAAGCTCAGAAATATCTCATAGCAACCTCCAGCCACAAAATTGATAACCTTGACTGTCTGTACACCCAAGAATTTTTTTGAGCAAAGACTCGAACCATCCTTTGTTGTGAGTAGGATTTTACCGAGAAATTTAAAATTTCTTGAGTGTTAAGTTCTTTAGATGTAGCACCTTGAGTTCCAAAAAAAGAACTAAATTGGAAATAGCAAAATCTGAAAATTTTCAAATTATGCTTAAGTTATGAGTTTTGGGTCAACTTAAAATGACCATAACTCTTAGTACATGATGAATTATGTGGGCTACTAGATATCTAATGAAAGGTCTTTGAATTATCTTTACAACGCCACGGAGTTTGCTAACGAGTTCGTATGAGGAAGATATGCCATTTTTAAGTCAGGTTGTCCATTTAAGGAAAGTTACCCGAAAATAGGAGGGCTATTTTAGTCTTTTCCTTACCCCCACTTATTCTAAACGAGAATTTCACCTAACTAAGGGTATAAACTGATTAGAATAGGTTTCATTAATCCCCAAAAGCGTTTAGGGTTTTAGAGAGAAGATTCAAGAGGAGAAGAAGTTCAAAATTCCAAGCGTTCGTACAAGAAATTCAAGATTTCCTTATCGATTAAGTTTTGATGTAAGATTCTATTTGGGTCAACTTCAAACGACTATATCTCTTAGAATATAAAGAGTTACGTAAGCCAAAACCTATGAAATTAAAGGTATTTGAATCTAATTTCCAACTCCACCAATTTCGCGTCAATCCAATTTCTGAGTAAAAAGTTATGACTATTTTAGTAACCTATATAGTGTTGTTACGAATTAGCCGATGGGAAAACATTAAAAAGTGTTGTTTTTAGTTTTTTACCTCCAAGAAAACCCTAAACGAATTTCTTGACTAATAAAAGGCTCAAAACAATCAGATTTTCATTTTTTAATCCATCATTCTCTTCTCTCTCAAACCCTAGGGGAAAAATCTACGTAAAAAAAAATCAAAGTAGAAGACTCCATTCAAGATTCTTTCAATCTTTTTCAAGATTCTTCTTCAAGGTAAGTATTTATCCAAGAATTTCATTTTTTTCAACTCAAATTTCTCCATACAATTATGAATCACTAATGAAAATCATAATTCTTGGCCATAAAGATTTCA